ACTGAATAACCATTCCATTTCGTCTTCAAAAAAATCAGTTGAAGTAGACTGCGTGCTTGTATTCAAACCCAGCTTGACTTGAGGACATGTTAGTTTATTATGTCCCTCACCGTTGCAGAACCCACATCACCTAATCTTCTTCTCGACCTTGTTCTTTGTTACTTCTTTTCGCTTGCGTTGTTTCCGTTGAGGGTCGCGAACGTTGTTTAATACACTGCTCCGATTGATTGAATCATTCAAGCCAAACGAGTTCTCAAATTCTTCTGTTAGTCTTTTCATCTCATCTTTTGCGGTTTTGAAAGACGCACCTGTTTTTGATGCAGCGTAGCATAACGTACTTGTTGTTGCGTGTAGAGAATCAAACCTTGCCATTTGCATTATTTCTTGAGGCACATTCAAATCAACAAAACTGGGTGCAGAAGCATTCGCATCCTTAGTCCACCTACTTTGAATCAAAGACCCGGGCAAATATGTGTAATCCAAGTGTTTCAAAACGTTAAGTTGATGGCGACATGGAAGTCCAACGGTCTCAAATTGTTTGCATGAGCAATTTAGAGTTTCCGTACGAGAATCAAAACTAATTTCAAATGTCCTATTTTTTCTTTGTACTTTTTCAAATAAAAATATTGACATTCATCTGATAAGGACTGAATCTCTTCCTGAATTCGATACAATGTATCCCGTTGAAGTTCTTCTTGGAACGCATGAAAAGATTTGCGCGTAAATATCTCAGAAGCATGACTTTCAAATTCAACCAGTTTTGTGATCTGGAAGGGCTTCGTCTGGGAACTTAAGTAATTCGCTTTCAACTCATTCAGACGCATTCTACTAATTCCATCTTCAATTGCACGAACAACATCTAAATAAGTCTTCTTGTGTTTTAGTGCAATTGCGAGTGAAACATTCATAGACTCGCACCTTTTTGTTGAGCGAATATTAGCAAAGAAATGACCGGTTAGATATGCTTGTGCCCATAAGTGTCGAGTATTTCCCTTCTCAATCACCCATGGATGCTTTTCGACGTTGAATTCTGAACAACTGAACGCCATTGAATATCAAATTCCTCTGTTGTCCACCAGGAAGCCATGCATTTTGAGAATGCTGCTGTAAATTTTGGGTCACCAATTTTAGCTTGTGCATTTGCGAGAAAGATGCCAAGAACATAATTTGTGCTTAGTATTAGGGATAACAGATTTGATAGCCCTCTGCATTGCCCTATCCCCATCGGTGACAACTGAAATAGGCGATTTGTTCATCATGGCTTCTAAAAAATTATGTAGCACCCACTCGAAAGATTGGGACGTCTCGTTAGCGATTATGGCAGCAGCAAACACAATTGTGTTATGGTGATGATTGACACCGAAAATAGGCATAATTGATCGACCATATAAATTATCTTTGTACGTTGTGTCGAACGCAATTACATCACCGAAGCATATGTAATCTGATCTCGATGTAGAATCCGACCAAATAAGATTATGCAACGCCCTTGATTTGTCTACCGAGTACGTCACAAAAAACCCGGGATCATCATGTTTCTTATAATCAAAGTAAGCAATAAGCGCATTCACATCCCCATCGACGATTTCCTTTGCTTTACCTCTTTGAAGTGCATTGTAGAGGTCTTTATGTGTAAATCCAACATTATGATAGCCCCCTTCCTGCTGCGTTAAATAGTTCATTACTTGTGACGTGCCAACACCGACCTCTTTCAATGTTGTTGCCTCATCAATATCAGCCTTACTTACAGCTCTATTAGAACGCATAAATGGTGTCATAGTAGGTGTGTACAATGCATGATTATGTTTCTGATAAGACTTACTTATAACCCACTGATCGTTTGTATTTGTTGTTGTAACTATGACTATAGCCTTGCATCATGTTCTTGTGATTAGCGTATGAGCACGTTGACGATCAATGGTATTAACTTTTGATTCTCGAAACCCTTCTTTCGAACAACAAAATGCTTGTGTCTTCACATTCCCTTCCATTTCAAGTTGTGTTGTTCCCCGACGTGCACTAAACCCATGTTCCTGTGCGAATCCCTTGTAAAAGTACCAAGCTTGATCACGTGAAGAGAAGAGCTTACCAACCAATATGTCAGATTCATCAACATTATGTACTTCATGGCATTCATCGGTTGGCTTAACATTGTCTGCATCAGTATGATCCATGGACAAAATTTTGTTGTGCAATTTCAGTGGTCCTAACATGAGTTGATGGAGATGTAAGTAAAGGTTCACTGAAAAACATGTTTTCAGTGGTGCTTTCAATAGGATGTGGTATTAGTAGTGGTAGTTGAAGGGTGGGTACAACATTAAATTTGCAGGACATATTCAGGTATGTACAATAACTACAACATTCAATAACTTTAAAGTAATAGGTAAAATTACAATGTAGGTGGTAAAAATATACTTTTTTTAATGACAAAATTAGTAAACACAAATATTTGTTTCGATACATATGTAAGCATATGTGTCGATACATTTTCTAAAAGTATCGACCCCAAAAACATCGAAACAGATAATTATAATGTAATAGGTAAATTAACAATGTAATCAGTATACATATACCGGTTAATTATAAAATAGGTCAACATAACGTATCGACACTATTATAATTTGTGTCGATCCTTATTGTCTACAATGAATGGCCAAATGACAGACACGTATAAAGTATCGATACATTTACAATGTAACCGGTAGAAATATACTGGGTTAATGAGAGAATAGGTCAACATAAAGTATCGACACTTTTTAAATTTGTGTCGATACTTTTTTCCAAAAGAAAGCACAAACAGGTTCACGCATAAAGTGTCGATACATTTAAAATTGTATCGATCCCAAAAACATCGAAACGATAATTATATTGTAATAGGTCAATTCACAATGTAACCGGGTTGAAATTTACCGGTTTTATGAGAAAATAGGTCAATATAAGCGCTACCTATTACATTATATAAGCGCTACCTAATATGTTATTGTACTTGATAATATTTACGGTTAAATGCCTATTTTATTATATAAGCGCTACCTATTATATTATATAAGCGCTACCTAATATGTTATTGTACTTGATAATTTTTCCGGTTAAATGCCTATTTTATTATATAAGTGCTACCTATTACATTATATAAGCGCTACCTAATATGTTATTGTGTTTGATAATATTTCCGGTTAAATGATATAACATAACCAGTCTAGATTTTAACCGGTCATTTCTTTAACCGGTCACGCCGGTTTTTAGGCGCCACACAGCAGAATCGCCCACTCCCAAACGGGTAGGCAGGTAGGGGCCTTTGCTCCTTCAGTTAAAAAGGTTAATTGCAGTTTTAGTCTTTCCCAAGTACAACAAATTCATTTGAAACCCTTTGATGAAATGGAAAATGTTTATTTTTAGCCCTTGCTAAAATTCAATTATTTCATTAAGGTCCTTGTAGTTTTATCTCGTTTCACCTTCACAGCTTCACTCTCAGTCTGCACTTCTTAAAATGAAAAGAAGAAGGCTTTTTTTTTTCTTTTGGCAGACAGAATCATACTTGATCTTAATTGTTCAACCTCGTTGTTTTTAGTCTTTTATGAGCAGGTCTGATTACAGAAGCTTCAACTGTTCTCTTTCTCTCGCACACTTGCTTTTCGTCAGCTTCTTCGTGATACTTGCCAAACTCAGAGCATCTACATCGTCGCCTTCACTGACACTGAGAGCAAGTGTATTAGCAAGTGATACAACATCTAGAATATCCTCAGCCACAGCAATTTATTCCTCAAGCATTGCAACATTGGAACCAACAGATTATCAATAGAAATCATAAAATGACAGCAATGTCGATAAAGAATATCATAAGCTATAGTATTGTTGATGGTAAGATTTGACTTACGATAATATAGGACGGTTCATAATTTCTGATATGGGCAGAAAACAATAACAGGTGATTTTAAGGAGAGTGGTGTGACGACGATTGTAAGTGATCTTTGGAGTAAAAGAGAATTTTTTTTAGTCTTGCATTAGGGATTTATATAATGATCCCTAATATAAGTGTAAGATTTAGAGTCACAATGACTATCAATGAGTTGATAAGATGTAAGGATATGATTATTTTATAATTGATTTGGCTCTAACAATTGACATGAATTTATCAAAAATAATATTAAAGGGTTGTGATTGATCGGAGGTTATGATTAGTGAAAAAATTCTCTCGATATTTTGATAAACAAAAGAATAACAACCGAGACACAATAAAAAAAACCCAAGATTTCAAGCATAAAGATTTGAGAAAGAATGATATACAATATAAAATAATACCAGAGATCTTAATTTGATCAAAAATAAAAATTTCATAAAGAACCATGGTGGAAATGCTCAGACAAGCTTGATATCTTAAGAGAACCCAGTGGTTAATAGAGATATCCCATAGCTTGGAATCGTTGAAACTGGACAATACCCTTTAGTAAACCCCGAAGTACTCGACATAGAGCCCAACAACAATGAACAGAAAAAAAAGACGATGAAATAGTAGTGAGTCAGGGACTCAGTCACTGGGAAGCAGCACTCATGCATGAATTAATGAATGGGAGAGAAACAAGGAGAATAAGCCTTGAAGTTTGAGAAGCAGGTGGCAAACACAATTACTTACAACAATACTATGTTTTTTTACGACTTCCAATGGCACTTTGTGGAATAATCAAAGCCTTTTAACACCCACTGTTTTTTACAATGAAAGGTAAACCAGGCTTTTCATGGATGCTCTCAGTGCTTGTAATTCAGACTTGTTTTCTTCTTTTTACCCTCTTTTTTGTATTTGCAGGTGTCTTAAAAGCCCAGGACTGCAAATTTTTCTTTCTTTCTTTTACTTTAGTTCTTTTACTTCTTAAAATGAAGTACCAGTTAATAGTTTCAGTCAGAGTTTTCCCCCTTTTCCCCATGGATTTTACCGGCTTTACTCATGGAAGTACGTACCCTTCATCTTCAAACAAAGATTAGAAAAAGATAAAAACATCAACTTCCCAATTATGTCTCAATTTGATTGACCAACTTTTGCTCATTCCAACCACATTATACATTAGCTATTAGCTTGATGAGCTTTAAATGAAATATTAAACCATGATCAATCAAGTAGCCTAGCCTTCTTACATACCAGCATCTTGGTTGCACCCTGAATTCTAATTTCATCGATCCGCCTACTGGAACTCTCTTTGGTAGATGAGATAAGGGTGGCAAAGGCAATGTAAATATTCTACCTTTCAGTTCTGCAGCAGAAATGGGAGATGTTCGGGTTCAGGTTCGTGATCACCAGAGGATAATGGCGGTGGACGAACGTTGTGTCGGGCATTTGAAGTTGGCCAGTAGCAGCTGATGGGGAAGTAATTGTGGAAGATGAGAATCCTGATGATGCTGCACTAGGGAAGAGTGGCATTTCGTTTGTCCCTCCACAAGGGCCTTGGATTTGCCATGGTGGGGAATCTACTTCTATCCTCTTCTTTATTGCTCTTTCCTGTAAATAAACAAACAAAATTAAATTGTAAATCAGCATATCATAACTGGTCTATTGCAGACACAGTTGTTTCGGATTAGGGGTCAACCAAAGAGATGTTGAACTTACCCTATAAACCGGAAAGAAAGTGGGATTTTCGACATTCCAGTTCGGAACGTCTTTGAATGCCATTGCTTGGCCAAGACTAGGTTGAACCCTCATTGTTACCGGACCAGAGTTCTCAAACTGGAAAGTATAATGTGCTTAAGCAATGAAATTCTTCAATCAGTGAACTGAAATAAACTTTAAGGCATGTAATCAACATTACCCGTGCACCACTCGCAACAGGCAGGCAATCACAGCCATGCTGGTAAGCAAAGTTGCTAAAATTTTCGTTATCATTTTTCCGATCGGATGTACATGGGGACGCAATGCCCAAGTTCAAATCAAGAACTTGATCCTGGTCTGTAACAAGACGATCAACAATTCACAGTAAACCGAAGCAAAAACTAATAGCTTGTAAATACATGGAGATGAGAGATGACAATTCCAGAAACAGAAAGAGTACCTCCATTTTCGGATTCCAAGATCAGCTCCCCTTCATATGTGCTTGGCTCAAAGTTGGTGACCGCTTCTCTTCCATTACATTTTATAGCAGCCTTGTCATAAGCCCTGATTTTCAAATAACAACATGCACAAGTAGTATTGGAAATCAAGAAAGTTGAGAAATCAATTAACCATTGATATTATGAGATAAAATTGAATTCATAAAGTAAGGACCTTGCAGCTTCTATCTCACTATCGAATAGCCCCAGATATATGTACCTGAAAGAAAGGAATGTATAATAACCCAATCAAAATAGTTAACATGAATCAATTCATTCATGCTTCAACTTCTTAGTTTAATGTGACTACTTAAAACATATCTACCAATGTACTAATACCATTTTTAGAATATGTCTGTTAACGGATTCTGAGAGTTAGTGTTAGATACAGGTATGCATCCAACATGGATTTGCTCCACCTTTTTTCAAGCTTTCTTCATATATTTGGATAATCATATGTCAGGGGCGAACTTTATACTTCATAAAATTATAGTGACATATGTCAAGAGGCAAAACTAAATCATCATTATAAAATATAGAGAAGATATCATCAAAATCATATGAAACTTTAAAACGATTCTTACTTCTTGCCAAGAAGTTGCCCCATTCTAGCTTCCCATCGGCCACATTTGTGCAATGTAACTCCCCTGTACTTGGAACTTCCTCTTGAAAAACCAGTGCTCTGCCTACGAAGGATATGCACAAATTCTTCCTTTGTAAAATTACTCATCTACAAAACAGAAAGAATCATTCATTTAACTTATAGTATCATTCCCAAATGCATATACTAAAATCATTAAATCAGACCCAAAATTCTCAACCTGCTTAATATCATCATCATAATCACCAGCATTAAAATTAATGTCCGCATCAGTTCCTCGAAACTTGATTGCAGCTCGATCATATGCTCTGTTAACATCCTCAAAACAAAAACTTTAAACCCCATGATTTTAACAGTTACCCCAAAAATCCCCCGACTGATTTGAGAAGAAATTTCACCTTGCTGCAGCATGTGCCGTGTCAAATCCTCCTGTTAACAAAAAAAAGGAAGGAACACCCAGATTATTTTTACAGATTAAAATTTAAAACCCGCCATTTTTAAGCTTCAACAAGAAAGATAACGGTTTAAATTCTCACCCAAGTACACTTGTTTCCCACAATCCCTGCATTTTAGAAGGATAAAAATATACCAAATGAGAGAATATTAAAAGGAAACAAGTTTAAAAAATTAAAGTTAAGCAAAAGGAATCTGTAATACTGCACATGAATGTGCATGTGTTTGTATATATATCAACACTAACCAAATATGAGACTCCCAACGTCCAGTTCTACGATACAACGTGACGCCACGATATTGAGAACTCCTCGAACGGGGACCACGTCGACTCTTCTTCACTTGTTGCCTTAGCTGACCTTGCTGTTGTTGCTGCTGCTGATGGGCTAGGATCCTCTGCTCCGCGCCTCCTTCGACGTCCATGTGGTACACCGGAGATTCTCGGGACCCGCCGTGATCCAACCATTTCTTCAGAGACGGTTCCGTTGACTTCCCGTCATTTTCCTCGACGTCGACCGGAAAAAGCGAGATGGTTGTCCGGTTGTGATTCTCTGGTTCTTGTTGAGCCGCTCTGAGAATACCAAAGGAGTAAGCAAAAGGTTCGGTGGACGCCGCGTTGGAATAGTAGTCATCGTCTCCGCCGGTGGTTGCGGTGTCGGCGTTGACGACGGAGGAACCGAAGCTCCCGGAACTATCCATTTTGTCATCAGTATAATTATTATTATTATTGTAACCGTCGAACCCAGGAAGACCATTATCTCCGGCCACCTCCATCTCCATTAGCTGCAGTGAATTATCACCAGCATCCGAAATAACACTCAAGTTAAGATCCAGCACCATAACTAAAGCTTAAAAATGAAATGGGAAAACAAACAAGGATTCCAAGGCTTCAGATATAGAAAAAATATGACGATGGAAGAAGAAGAAGCGAAATGTGGGTTTTAAGAAGGAAAGCTAGAGAGGATTCATTGAGGTCCGGCTTCTTCAGATGTTTGTGATTGTGAAGGAAGGTGAAAGATGGAGCAACAAAGGAAAAAGAGTGAAGGGACCCTCAAAAGGGTACGATGGGACGTACGAGGGAAAAAATAGCTGCCTGTTTTGCCATTTTTTCCTAAATTAATTTACAAAAATAATTATCAAAACCCCTTTATTTGTTTTCCTTCTTTTCAATTAAAGATGCGTTTGTTTCGTATAATGTAAGATTATCCTTAAAAATAAAATTATAAAAATGTAAGATTATCACCAAAATATTGTATTACTTTATTTATTTTATTGAGTAAGTATGTAAAATTAAAATATGTGATTGAAGAAATATAAGATTATTTGGATTTATATCTTATCAAGTTATCATTGTGATATATATTTTATCAATAAATTAAGCTTTAATATTAAATTATAAATATTTGAATGGAAATTCATAGAAATATTTTAATCTTTACACTATCACTATCTAACTTTTGAAAAAAATACATTTAACATATAATTAGTATATTATACTTATATTTTTAAATCATTATTATAAGAATCAAATTTATTTTTATGAAATATAATATATTATGAAAAAATAATATTATGATTTCGATGGATAAAAATATAATTTTAAATATAAAATGTATTTTTGAATAACTCAAAGTCAGATATTATTTTAAATAAATATATTTTTTACAATAATATCATTTTTCACCCCATAATACTATAAATAATTTATAAATTAAATATTAAAAATATAAAATAATTTTAACTACTCAAATTTATTTTACTAAATCAAACTTTCTGTATATTATTCTTATATTTATAAATTTTGAGAAATTAAAATAAATAAGAATTAATAATGATCCATAATAAAAGAATTATTATCCCATAGTTATTCTTATCCAAAGTAGTGAAAATTATAATAACTAAGGATTTAGATATAATGATATTCCCATTTTTTTAACTAAAAAGTGTTAATATTGATAATAAATTATTATCTGGTAATGATATTTTTTGTGAACCAAATATCCTCTAAGAATTTATTTTTCATTCAATCTCGGTTAATTTATTAAATTATATTTTTTAATATTTATTTATTATGATAGTTGTTGAGTTAATCGATCGACGAAATAGCCAAGAGGGGGTGAATTGGCAATAAAAATTTTGGTGGAAGCTTTTGTAGAAAATATTTGCATATCGATTTAGAGTGGTTCGACTTTCTTAACCAAAGTCTACGTCCACTACCTTAGTTATCCACGCTAAGGATTTTCCAACAAATTCACTAATTTGTTCTTTCTTTTGAGGACAAAGAGTAACCTTACAACTTCCTCAATAATTATACCCCAAATTTTTTAGAACACTCTCTCCCAAAGAGAAAACTCTCTCCCAATGAGAAAATTACAAATTCGCAAACTTAACAGAAAAAACTCACAAGGCAAGATGTTTACACAATTCTAGAACAAAGAAAGAACACTCAAGAATAATACAATTGAGTACAAGTAGTGTTCTTGAAAGCAAAAATGAATATTGAATGAAAATAGGCTTGAAATGTTCAAACAATGAGGTTTGATGCTTTCTCTTTGATTCTCTCTCAATTCTTGTTTCTTGTTTTTGATCAATGGCTCTTCAGCTTGTTTAAATACACCTTCAATTGATTCTGAACGTTGGGGATCATTGGTGAAGTCAGTAGAGTCGTTATGGTGTAATTATCATTTAAAAAATCTGTTGGGAGCGTAGGTGTATCGACACACTCTCAAGGGTGTATCGGTACACTGCGTGTAAAATTCTAATATTTCGACCGTTATTTGAACTAGTGTATCGGTACATTCCAGGTGTATCAGTACACTAATTACATTCGATGTTTCTCGGAGCCAGGAGTGTATTGATGCATTTGATGTGTATCAGTACACAAAATGGATTCGATGTTTGGTGTGTATCGATACATTCAAGAGTGTATCTGTACATCCCTTTGTAAAAATTATTTTTGGCTTGATTATGGTTCGAAATACTTTGTAAAAATTGTTTAAAAATATTTTAAGATTAAAACACAATTTTACATTTAAGTAAGGTTTAAAATTGACATTTAAAAAACTTGGAGTAATATTTTGATATTCGAATAATTTACTCGAATATTAATTTTGAAATCGAATATAAAATATTAAAATTCAATAGGACTTTATTTGTTATATCGAAACATCAAAATGTTTTCAACAATATCCCCTTTTTGATATAACAAAACATTTAAGTAATTTTAAGATTTGAAAATCATTTTTGAAATCAATTTTGAAAATTATTCCCCCTTACTTTATTCTCCCCCATTTTGTTAAATCAAAAAGACTATAAAAAACGTTTTTTAAACAAGATTTTGAAAAATAGCCAATGGATATTTATAGATATAGCTTAAGCTACTAAGATCACAATCAAGAGAAATGTTAGCCATTAGTTTATAATCAATATTCATAAACAATGTGTAATGGTAATTGGTCATATTTATTTAAAATGTAAATGATGCAAAAATTAATAAAACCAATATAAATTAATCAAACCAAATTCAAACAATCAAAACCAAATATATATATATAAGCATTCAAGTTCAAACATCCATTACATCCAAAACATATCAATCCAAAAATATCAAAAATGTTTTAACAATAAGTCCTAAGTTCAATCCAAGAAAACAAAGCAAGTAAAGGTCTAATCGTTCATCGGTGGATCAGGAGGTGATAAATGTGCCCATATATTGGCCGCATTACGTGTAAGCGCGTCAACCCTTTCATCTATAGCATCGAATCAATGATTTATTGTTTCGTTGTTAGCAGTCAAATGAGACTCGATGGATGAAAACATCATGTCAAGATTCTCCATAAATGATCGAAAGTATGGAGGCATCTGACTCTCTTGCTGAGTCGGCTCGTCCTCGAGTACGTGATCATCTATATCGCACATAAGTTGTTCAAGTTCTGGATCATCATCCCCTGTTGATGCCGGTGGAGCTTGTGAAGAGCTAGCTCCCGATGTTTTCTCGGTGGATCGAACCCATTGATCCTTGTCCCCGGACCATCCCAATTTCTTCAAGGTTGTGAAATTTATTGTGTTCTTGAGAGGGATGGGAACATCAAGCGTGACCCTAAGGCTGGATTTGATAAACAAATTACTAAGAGACAATCGTAAACTAAGGTTTCAACATATTTAGACGATACATTGTTCACGGTTTCTACTAGCTCACCAAAGATGATTTGTGACAGATTTATTTTCTTTTTATTTTGGATACAATCTTTCCACCAAAGATCTAGTACTCTAAGCGTAAAATATCTACCTCCAGATGGTTTAAACCACCAAGAGATGATTAAGTGAAGAAAACGCTCGTGATAGGTTAACAATGTACTTGCACTAGCTTTGGCTTTATAAAGAGTAGCCACAATTTCTCTTTCATTATCTAATCACGCGTTATCTAATCCAAAAATATTAGCGATTGTGTCGGAGTCAATATAGACAAATTGGCCTAAAAGATAAGACCGAATACCTACAGTTTCAGTACGAGACTCGTTTTGGACACAAAACGCATTAGAATAAAAAATACGGACTAGCTGGTGATAAACGATAGGTTTGAGGTGAAAGAGTTTATCAAATTTCTAGGATTTAAGGGTAGGAAGATATTGAAATTTCATATCAACCATAGCTTGGATTGAGGGGATACGTTCTTCCCGGATTTTATATGACTCGAATAAATTATGGTACCTATGGTAAAGATTTTCTCTACGACCAGGTTCATTAAAACATGAGTTTAGAATGGTCATTTCCGGTTCGTTCGGGTTTGGATTTGGATTGGGAGGTGGAATAGGAGGTCGGTTTTGAGGTTGGTTTGAAGACCGACTAGAGGATGACCTAGGGCATTTAGAACGAGACATGGTTAGAATCGGAATGAATAGGGTTACCTACAATTATAAAACACATGTATGCAATATAATCAATCCCAAAACTCAATATGAGTCCGCAATAGTTAAGGTTCTCTAAAATAATCCTAATGTGCAAATTTGAAAACTATTTTTGAAAACAATGTTTGAAAATCAATATGTAATTTTCAAAACATCATAATTTAATCAAAAACAATAATTTTTAAAATCAAAACAAAATTATTTTTTTATTTCGATTTTTTTTTTTTGAAAAATAGTGTTGTTTTTTAGGAAATTAGTTGTAGATTATAGTTCTAGACTACAATCTAACAAATTCCCGATATATACTTCAACCTAGAACTAATTAAAACTAGTACTAAGTTCAAAAATATTAAAATATGGGTTTTAGAAAAATTTACCTTGAAAATTCGGATTGAGTGAGAATGTAATGATATTTGCACGAATTTGATGATCGTAGCAGGTTTAGGAGTTGAAAAATGAGTTAATTCCGACTTGAATCGTTGAAAATGAACAAAGATAGAGATTTGGAGTAGAGAGGGGCAATACGACGAGAGTATTTTTAAGAGAATAGGGTTTGGAAAAAATGATAATTTAGGGATTTTAAGCCTAAAACCCGACGGGTGTATCAGTACACTCTTAAGTGTATCGATACACATTCAAAGAATGCATCGATACACTATCATAGTGTATCGATACATAGTGAGGATGTATTGATACATAGGTATCGATACACTGTGCGCAAAAATGTTAAAATCTGTATTTAAACACTCAAAATACTAAATTAATTAGCTCTAGTGGTATTAGAAACTCATATATAAAAAATTAACAATGTTCAATCAATCAAATCTATCCTTAAATTTTATTTGAACATATAATTAATTTTCACTAAAGATCATAAACTCCCCCTAACTATTAGCAAAGAATGCAAAAAAAATGTTATTTTTATAAGCATTTTCCAATTCTAATTAAAAGTGCTAAAATTATTTTAAACAC